GCCCGTCCAGGCCGTATGTGCGGATGTGATGTGCATAGACACAGCATCCCGCTACCCCCGTATGTGCACACAGACACACAGACGCATCACGAACACACTCATGCATACCCACAAACATCCCTGCACACACCTCAGGCACACTTAGGGCCCTGCTTGTTGGAGCAACTTGGGGAACACTGCCACTTGGACACTTCCTTCTGCCCACTCTGGTGCTGGATTTTGGTGGGGAGACCGGGATGGCCAGAAGAGGGACACCCGCGATCCTCCCACTGTAAGCACTGACCATGCTCCCATCTCCCCGCACCTCCAATACAGACCCCGAGGCCTGCTGCCTGGGACCCGCACACTCCCAGTCTGCTTTGGGTGCTGGTGAGCCTTCCCACACTTTGTACAGATGGGGGTGGGAGGGCAGCCCCTCCCCCAGTGTCTCTGGCCTGGAAAAGGGCAGTGGTGGTGGGAGCGAACCAGAGATGGCTTGGACATCTCTCCCTCCCTGGGCCCCACCTGCTCCCCACACAAGCCCCTTAGGGTGGGCTGCTAGAGGCCCTGGGGATGGGCAGGAGGACCCCCCATTCTGTCCCTAGGCACCTCAGAGGGAAGAGGGGCCCAGGGTGAGTAACCCCAATGCAGAGGGCAGGAGAGGAGCCTGGGGGGAGGCTTGGAGCTGAGCAGTTGGCACCAAGCAGGGCTGGGGGAGAAGAGCTATTATGGGATAGCAGGAAGGGGCAGAGAATGGATCAGGGACTGGGGCCTCCCCACTTTCACAGGAAGGGGACATAGCGACCTGGCATCTCCTGCCATGGTTCACAAAGCATTTTTATGTGTGTTCTCCCCTCCAGTCTATATGGAGCCTGTGAGGCAGCTCTAACCCAGCTCAGGCCAAGTGCCTTGCCCGAAGTCACACAGGAAGTCAAGCTAGTGTTCTCTGCCCCTTCCCCACCTGCTTTAGGTTCTCCCCTGGCCCAGGGCAAAGTTCGGGGGTAGGGCAGCTTAGGGGTGTGTGTGTACACATGCGCGTGCACATGCCGCTCTCCTCTGGGTCACCAGCTCAAGTTGAGGACACTCTTCTCTTTTTTCTCTCTCTAAATAACAACTCAAGTGCCTCACAGTCCCCAGGGCATCTATTCCCACTGTCCAGAGCCTCCCCTCACCCCCCCTCAACTCTGACCCCCCACTCCTGCCCTGTTCAGGGTCTACAGGGGCGCTCCAAGGCACAGTTGGCTGGTGGGAGTCTCCAGTAATGAATACTGGGTTTTGGGGTGGCTAATGGGACTCCCTCCCTCCCACTCCCAGGGTCTGCACTGCCTTTTGCGAGCTCATCTCCAGTCTAGCAATGGGCTAGTACTTATTCCTGGCCCCCTGATATGGTGCCCACAGCAAGGTCCTTGGCACCTCTGTTGGGCACTGGAGGAAGAGGATAAGAGAGGTGGGTGGCATAGATATGGCTGGGCAAGATGCCACTAATGGGTGTGTGGGCAGTGGTAAGAGGACATGCTCTCCCAGCCAGATACCTGGGGCTCCAGAAGCCCTAGGGCGGACCCCCGCCTTCCCCAGGAGGACCTAAGGCCAGTTATGGGCACATCACACAGCCAGAGACAGAGAGTAACCACCCACTGCCCAGTTGGCACCTAGCGAGAGCCTGTTCAGACCTACCCCCAGGAAGGAACCACACTGATGGGGCACTTTCTGTGTGCCTGGCACTGTGGTGGCCACTCTACATCTGTCCTCTCTTGAGGTGGAGGCTGCTACCACTATTGTACAGACAAGGAAATTGAGGTGCAGAGAGGTTATGTAACTGGCCTAGGACACACACACCACGTGGCCAAGCCAGGATTTCAGCACAGAACTATCCCACCCCATGGGGTTATGGCCGAGTAAAGCAAGGAGGCAGGGCAAAGTGTGAGTGTGGGGCCAGGGGTGGGATGGGGGAAGGACGCAAGGAGGCTGCTTTGGGAGAGGTTTTGGATCTCCAGACAGGCAACCTGATGTGGTCTTGAGGTTGTGACGGGAACAAGGCGCCAGGACACTTGGTCTTCCAGAGAAGGTTTGGTTTGGTCCTGGACAGGAGGCAAAGTTACAGGTCCGGATGCCCTGTTGAGGCTGGGATTGGAGAGAGTAGGGGGGCAGCTTTTTCTTTACAAATGTGGTTTCCAAAGTGGAGAGTGATCCTAGGGATGCACCAGATGATCCTTTAGGGTGTGGTAAGAAAATATTGGAACTTATATTTATAGTTTAAAAAATAATCATTAAATTTATGGGGTGTGTGAAAAAAATTTAATATACGTATTAGTTTTCAATAGCATAAATATAGTAATATATAAATATAAATATATAGACGGTGATGATTCCAAACTTTTTTTTTTTTACTGAGAGATATAGCCAATAGAGAAGGCTTCCGTAACAAGACCGGGGAGTTGCTGGGGGTGCCTGCGAGGAATGGGAAGGGTAGGTGTAGAAACATAGATTCGGGATAGCTGTTGGCGGCCCCTGCTGGTCATTACCGGAAGTGCAACATCACTCAATACAGCCCAGGCTCTGCTGAAAATTCAGAACACCCCTTTCAAGTTTTCTTTCTTTCTGTGCCCTAAATCCCAAAGCCTTGGAATGAACACCCACCAGAGGAAAACCCTGATTTTAGGGGAAGCAGAGACACTGCCTGCACCGTTGTGAACTCTAGGGTGCAGGCAGGGAGGAAGACGGCTAATTACAGACCTGAGGGAGAGGATTCATTCCCTTCAGTCCCACCAACTTCCCCAGCCCACCAGCAGAGGTGGCAGCCCCAGACTGCCATGGGATTATTGTGGACCCCTCAAGCCGGCTTCCTACCCCAGCTATTCTATTTCCCACCTGTAGCACTCTTGTCCCTTTGGGGCCCTGCTTACAACACTTACTGAACCTCTGTTATTCAGTTATACTACCAGAAAGTGGTTTCTTTGTGTGTCTGACACTCCCCTACCCAAACTCCACCTTCGGGAATCACTAAAGCTGGCACCAAAGCTAGTGTCTGATTCAATATCACTGAAGCTGGTGCCCTATCTGAAACAGAACAGGGCATCCTACTCTGCATCAAGAAATGTTTCCCATCACTCTGTAACCACATGGAGCTGTTGTGAGAATCAAATAATTTATCAGTTGTAAGGTTCCGAACAGCTGTGAGGGGCTGACGTTCTATAAGGCTCTTATTAGAGAGATGCTTTCTGACTGAGTATGGGGGGAGGCAGCTTGGAAGAATAATAAATTGGGCTCCACCTCTCTAGTGAGCCAGAATCTAGGATTCCACTTTGTCTTGAGGATTTTGAATGAAATTGAAGATTTGCTGTGAGTTGCCAAGGGGCAATAGTTGCCTGGTTGAAAAGAAGTAATCAATATTTCAGAGAAGCTCAAGATCCTTCCACTTCTCAGCCAAATGCAGCCAGCCAAGTGCACTGTCCAGAGGTGGACAGGTGAGAGTGGAGGGCAGCCTTCTTAATGTGAAGGGGAGTTCTTCCTGAGATACATTAGGTGGATCATCTGGCCTGAAGGCAGGGGAGAGAACTGGAAGCATTGTGCTTCAGCAAGCCTCTCTGGTTGAAGACGGAAGCCTGCAATTCCAGTCCCTGCTATCTGGGGTCACTATCTGTCTTCTTCTCCATCAGTAAGGGCGGAGAGCACCGAAAAACATGGGGGCTTTCAGTGGAGTCTGGCCTGGTTCTGTGGCTCTTCCTTTTACCTATACCGAAACCTATGCTCTCCAGAGCTCAGGGGTGAGCTGAGTCTTCTGGGACCTGGGGACCCATCCTCTGCTTCCATATGGATTTCCAAGTCAAACCCATTCCTGAGATTTCCAAGCAAGTTTCTAGGATGCAGTCTATTTCTGATCTTAGGAGACTTGCATATTCTTTAGAGGGCAACTGGAGCTGGTGGGGGTAGAGCAGTACTGCGACTGGCCCCAGATGCTCCAAGCCTTTAGCGAAAGATGGTCTCCGGGCTGAGCCTCCAGTATTCCAAGGTCATAACAGTATCCTCTTACTAAGTGCGAGTCTAGGGTGGAGCTGGAGGCTGCGCGAAGGAGGGCAACTGGGTTTAAGTCTTTATTTTCTTTTTCAGATAACACTCTGAGGGAGAATAGCGAGTTACTTCCTTCTGTATTCCGTAGACCAGAGTATGGACCAACTCACCGATCCAGGCTTAAAATAATGTCTCGAATCCCTTCGCGAAGACGGCCCCCTCTTTTTTTTTTTTTTTCCTTTCCTTTCAAATTGGCCTAGAGAGCCTGGGATCCAAGTATCCACCATCGAGTCCTTAAAAGCTGCCCCTCAGCCCTAAGCCCTGTCGGGATGGGTCTCCTGTTCCTTGAGGGTCTTCCTAGACGACTCGTGTTTTCTTTCCTAGTTGGGAAGCAAGTAAAGGTGAGGCTCGTCTAGAACTAGAATGTGGGTCTAAGCTGAGAGAAGGGGGCGGGTAATCTTTCACCATCGCCCTTTTAATGGATCGCTGGCGCCGAGGGACACTGGTGGGTACAGGTCCCAGTCCTTGCTTCTGCTAGTGGGAAGCGAGTGGCGGGTGGGGTCGTGGGTTACGCAGTGTCTCCCAAACCACCACCTCTCTGCCTACCCACTAGCCTTTCGGAAAGGTTACCTTCCTCCGGGTTATCCCTCGGCGTTCCTGTCTCCCTCCCCTCCCCTCCTCCCTCCGTCTCCGCCCCCTCGCGTAGAGGAGGCCTTGCCGCTTTAAGAGCCGGGATAGCGATTGACAAGCAATAAACGCGGAGCGCCGGGCTGCGCTGGAGCCACAGCGAACCAGGGGCCTCCCGGGGCGCAGGTAGGCGTCCCCCGGCCCCCGGGCCGCACCCACCCCAGGGCCCTTTCTCCTCTTCGTCCGGGCACCGTACTTGGTGTCCTTTTTCTGCGTTCCATCTCCCCTAGCCTCTTCCCTCTGGCCCGTCACCTCGCTCTCCACCTCCCGCACCCACCCCCCTTTCTCCGATGCTCCTTGAGAGAGACCAAACATTGCTGTCCATTGACGCCGGTCCCCGCCCCCGCAGTGAGAGCTCCAAAGTGACATCAGGCACAGAGCTGGTGAGCTGTGCGGGGCCCGGGTGTCCGCGCGGCCTCTCCAGGGTCTGTGCGGATATTGGGGACTTCGGAGCCAGGCATTACGTAAGAACCGCGCTGTTAGCTCTTCCGGGAGTTGGGGCGCAAGACAGAGGTTGTGTGGGTCCCCGTGACTCCCCGGCCACCTTGGGAGGCAAAAGCCTCAGTCTTTCCTGGGAGGGGGTCCTGGGAAGGGAATGAGCTGCTGCTTCCTCCTCCCAGGCTGTAGAGGGGGCGGGTCGGGGTCTGGGGCTAGGAATAGGTGTCTGGAGACCTGGGAAGGTATCGGTACTAGGAGCGGGGAGCCAGGGTCAGAAAGTTAGGTCAACTAAGAGAGGAGAGAGTGGGGATAGGGGCGGGGGCGGAGGCGGGGTGGGGGGTGCAGTTATTCAGTGACCTCATCCCCTGGTCTCCGGCTTGCGCGCACGCAAAGAGCCTTCTTTGATGGCTCGCAACACACCCCCCTCCTCCCAGGTCCTAGCGCCCAGCCTGTTAATGCTGGGCTTTTGGGGCGGGGGCGATCTGATTATCTGTGCGTGCAAGTCCGCCCAGCCACTAGACCCCCATCTCTCAATCTGTCTACCCCTTCCCATGGCCTGTCGGTCTTCAAAGCGCCTTTGACAGACCTTTCTCCTCTGCATCTCTTTGTGCGTGTATTGACGGAGCTTGGAGGAAACCTCCCCCTTTCCCGGTGGGTCCGCATGGTCTACTGACCCTAGGGAATGAGGATAGCCTGGAGGTAGTGGTGAGAGAGCACCCGGGTCCAGGCTTTTAGAAGCCGAGTTACGGGTTTCCAGATGCCTGAGCTCCGGACCTTGGCCCGGAGCCAAGCTGGCTTGCCTGGTACTGCTGTTCTCCTGTGGGCACAGCCGGACCCCGCCCTCTCGGAGGCTTGGATGGGGGTGGGGCAGAGCTAGCCGATGCCGTCGGAACCCACTCCCCAGGGAGAAAACCCAAGCAGGCTGGGCACTTCTGGGGACAAGATCCTCCCTGCCTTTTCCCACCTTCCTCCCTCGAGGAAAGAGGACGTCTGGAGTCCTCTTTGCCAGTAACTGTCCGGGAGAGCAGCGCCAGCCAGGAGAGGGTTCCAGGTTCCAGGTCGTCGAGACCTGGGAAGGGGAAGGAAGGGATCCCTCCTTGATGCTCTCTAGGAATAGGGACAGCAGGGGTTGGCGCCGGGGGCACTGGCTGGCACAGTGGATCCTGAGTATTGCTCCCAGCCTGGGTGCTAGCCTAACAGTGGGTGCCCTTCCTCTCCCTGAAAGCTCGTTTTCCCCTTGTGCTCAGAGGCAGATCCAGGAGGAAGGGGAGCCATCCTTCCACCTTTGTAATTTCTGCTACCTGAACTGGGATGACCAGCTCAGGCCTGGGAGGGTGATGGGAGTGGAGAAAATTTTATTAAAATCAGGTAGTGGTCCCTCTAGGGACATTTTGAGGGGGAAGGTGATGTTGTGGCTCCTCCACCCACAGGGCCCAGTAACGTTCAGTCCTAAACTGGGCACTGCCAGCTACTTCCCTCTACTCCCCCACCCCTGCTGTGAGCCACCGCCTCCTGTTGCCATAGCAACCGGGAATTAGGGTTTTCTCCAGCAGCACAGGCCCAGGAAGGCAAAGGGAGAAAGGGTAGTGCACTACCCCCCTGCACCCTCCCCTGGAGAATGGGGGAGCCAACCTCAGCTTGGGGATGCCCTGCGATGGGAACTGAGGCTGTAAACACCACGGCTGCTTCTGCCCGCAGCCCCCTGCTCTCCTTGTCTAGACTCTGGGCTAAGAAGAGGCAGAGGAGAAAGGAAGCAAGAGAGGCCTTGGGGAGGTAGTACATCCCTTCTGTCAGACAGATGCACAGACGTCTGTGGAGTGCCTATACTGTGCTAGGTCTAGGATCCAGAGGCAAAGTAAAACAGATGTGATTCTTGACCTCAGGGCCCATGGAGCTTAAAATCTGGGAACACCCATCTTTCCTGCTTTTGGCTCAAATTCTGGACTTCTCCCACCCTCTCTCTCAAAAACAAAGCCAGATAGTAGGCAGAAACATTTTTTTATGGAGTCATAAAACCTGAGTTTTCGTTGCAGCTTTTTAAATTAGCTTTGTGACCTTGGACAAATTAACTAACCTCTCTGATCCTCTGTCTCCTCCTCTTTGGAGAAAGGGGAATGTGATATCTGCTCTTCCTGCCTCCCAGGACTCTGGGATTATTTAATATCAGGGCAATGCCCTCTCCACTACCATGTTGGCTGATCAGGAGGGTGAGGCCCTTCTTAATTCCTTCCCCATTTCTTTGCCTTTGTGCCTCCTCAACATTCTCTCTCCCCTCCTCTAGGAGAGCCATTTCAGAGCCCTTGCTGACCTCACCATGCCGGTTGCTGCCACCAACTCTGAGACTGGTAAGAAGCGGGTGAAGATGTCAGTTTCTATCAGTAGTTCAGAGGGCGCCAGGCAGGGACTTAAGGGTGGGGAGCAGCAGTCAGGCACTCCCACAGCTCCCAGTAAGAACAAACTGCCTCCCCCCAACCCCCAGCTGCTCCACCCAGGGTGCTCAGCCATTCCTCAGGCAGCTTCTATCGCCCTGCTGCACCTGCCCCAGGGTGGGGCTGGAGACACAGCACAACTCACCTCCATGGAAGGCAGGGGATGCATGTTCTGGAGATGGTCTGCACTATTGCTGGAGGGCAATGGCACCGAATCAGGCTGGTTAGAGAAGTGGTCTCTAGGAGCTGGGCTTTGGAGGATGGTTTGGGGGCAGAGGGACTGCAGCAGCACAGCCTGGGTCTGAGAAGTCCACGGGGCAGTGCCCACCAGATAGGTGTGGTGGACCAGCATATGCTAAGATGGGTGTGTGTGTGCTGGGACACAGGAAGCTGTGTGTGTGTGAAAGATGCTAGGTCTGGAAGCCTTGAGTTGGTTCTGTAAGAGGTTTAAGGGCAAGGGAGTTTTAGGGCTTTTCTGTCACCCAGACAAACTAGGAAGCCTGAGGACCAAGCTGCTTAAATTCTTGTAGCCTTCGGCTCTTCTTCTGTAGAGGTTGATGTGAAACTCTAAGGCTATGACAGGGACAGCCCGTTACTGTTAGGAATATCCACAGTTATTATGCTGTGCTGCCAAGTTGTTGTTACCTCCTTAACCTGTGACCTTGAATCAGTGACTTCCCTTTTAGTACCTAGGTTTCCTCATCTGTAAGAGGAGGTGATGGGACAAGACCGGGGTTTTGAACTTGTATATTCCTGGATCCCTTTGAGAATCTGATGAAAGCCAAGGGTCCTCATCATAGACAAATTCTTCTATACACAAAATCTGCGTTCTACTCCAGGAATGCAGGGGCCCCCTTGAATGCATCCAGGGACCCACCAGGAGAAGTGCCCCGTGCTAGACACTCTCTAAAGACCCTAACAACTGCAAACTGCTCTGGTTTTACTCTGATTTATCTGAATTTTCCCCTGCCAGGGCGCCTCCTAATTTGGTTAGATTGACTCCCCTGTTCCTCCCCTCTGAGAAACTGAACCAGGAGAGTGAAGGCTGCTGTGAGTGTGACACCCTTGTCCCCCAGGAGAGGCCTCTTCCCCATGAAGTGGAGGGATTGTACCAATGCCCCTGGCTTCTATAGCCTTGGAGGGCTCAGTCCCCATCCCCTGCTCCAGCCTGCCTGAGCCCCTCTGTAAGCTGCTTAGGGGTTAATTAAGCCCATCCCTGAGCCTGTGATTAAAGGCCTTTCAATCTGGGGCTGCCCAGTAAACCCATTAATAGTGCCTGGCAGGGGTGCAGAGGGAGAAGGCCCAGCAATTTGGCTTCCCTGCTGCAGGCCACTTGATGGGCCTGGGTGGGGTGGGGTGGGGTAGGGGACATGGGAGGGATTGGAGCCCAGGGGTGTGTGTGTGGGGGGGCCTGTTTCCTCTGAGGACTCCTGGGGCAGCAGCTACTCTGGGTGCAGTGCTGCTCTGCCTTCTCATATCCAAAGGAAGAAGGACAGGAGCAAGCTGCTTAACCTCTTGGAGCCTGTGTTTCCTCTTCGGTAAAGAGGTGATGTGAGGCTCAAAGGCTTGAAGTCTTGTCTTTCTTTCAAGCGGCCCACTGTGCCTGCCCCAAGGCTGCACTGGCTCTTGGCCTCAAAAATCTAATTCTGGGCTCTGCCCCTTCTCATTTGGTGGTCATTACACTTCCCACAGGCCTGGTAGAGAAACAGCTGCGTCCCTGCCTCTGAGGTCAGGTCTGGCCCCCTTTCTCTTCTCCCTTCCAGAATCCCTGCCTTGGGCTCTTCGGAGTGAAGCTAGCAGGGTCATTCCACCCTTAGCCATAGGTCAATATGGCCATGATCATTATGAAGGGAGGGAGATAGTGTGGGTGTATTCCTCTTGGAGAGAGACCCTCAACTCTGTTTCTAGTAAGGTGGAGGGGTCCTTTTCCTGAGGGTTTGGGATGGTCTGGAGATAAGTGTGTGGTGTGCGCTGAGAGTTTAGAGAACTTGCCCCCAGACTCCAGACATGCAGCCATGCCCTCTCATCCCCCAACACCTGGTTCCTCCTTTCTTTGAATCAAGCCTGGGAGGTCCAGCTTTCAGGTGGAGCTGTCCCTTTAAATGTCTGAGTTAATGTCCTAGTGTGTAATCCTGCCTGCTGCCATGGCAACCAGGGGTGTGCTGTGACCTGGTGCCACTCCTCAGGGAATAGCTGTCTGGTGGCAGATGCAGTGCCTAGTGGTGGTCTCAGAGGTACAGGGTCCCAGAGGAATGGCGGCTCTGGGCTGGGGTAACTTTCAAGTCCTCCCCTCCTGCCCACCCTAGTCTCTGTTGGTGAATATGCCCTCACCTTTGCCCTGCCCCAATCTCAAGAGGCCTGATTTGCCAGCAGGCATCACCCCCTTCTCCAAGGGAGATGGGGGAGGGAGAGTATGCTGCTGAGATGTGAAGTCAGAGGGCTCGGGGTGCCCTTCTCTGCCCACAGTGGTGCTAACCCCCTCCCCTCCTCCCCGCCACCCCCTCATGGCTGGTAGCTGGGGCTTGAGAGTGTTTGCCTTGTGCCAAAGTGGCGCCACTGCCTCCTGGCAAAGGACTGAGAGTCATTCTTGGGGGCTTCCTTTGATCCTGAGGGGGTCATTGTAAAGGAAACTGGTCCTCGAGAGGGGGCTGAGAGGAGAGGTCTGAGGGCAAGAAGAGGACTTGGCATGAGGTGTAATAGAGAAGGGACTTCCAGAAGAGGCGGCAGGAACAAGATGGGGTCAAGTCCCCACCCACCTTGGGTTTCCCACAGGTGGGCTGGGAGAGGAGGCTCTTTGAGCTTAAGTCCCCACCCCTCTGCCCCTGCAAACCTTCTCTCAGCCGCCTTCCTCCCCACTCCCACTGGTAGGTACTAAAACGGGGGGATCTGGCCTCCCGTGGGACGGGGATTCTCCCATCGCCCCCTCCCCAGCCCTCTTACCTCCCCCTCCCTGTCGGCTCCAGTCGGGGTTTTGGCCAATCAGCAAGGTGGTCAGGGCGACTGAGCCTTGCTATTGGCTGTTCCTGCAGAGGGCGCTCCACGAGTCCCGCCTCCTCCAGCGCTGCCCTCCTCTGGCTGGGAAGGCGGTAGCGGCGTGGAAGCTACTCCGGGAGCCCCTGGCCGGGTGGGGGGCAGTCATGGCGGGCAGCCCAGGCAGCGGGGCCTCCTTGGAGGGTATATCCCTGGGCTCCTCTGAGGAAACTGAGCTTCGAAGGGAAGGTAGGTAAAGGCAGGACGGAGAGGCTGGGGCTGAGGGGTGCGGGTAAGCTGGCCCTGCGGGGTTTGGGGCATCTGGAGGGAGTGCCCTAGGAGCGGGCCCCTGGGAGCCTAAGGGTCTAGGGTCACGGCCCCCCGGAGTGCTCGCTTGGGCTGAGGGTACCAACTGCCCTGGCTCAGCGCTCCTCATGGCTGGCAGGCTGGGGAATCTGTAGGTGAGGATGACTAGGGAGGGTGGATCCCAGGGGACCCTGGCAGAGCGGGGAAGAGTCCCTGCCCTGGCTTCTTTCTGAGTCCACTAAGGGTCTTGCAGGTCTCTGACCAATGCCAAGCCCAGGCCTGAGCTGGAGGGGTCTGGAGAGCAGGCTTGGATCTTCTGGAGAAGGTGGGGAGGATGAGGAGGAAGAGGATGGGAGGCCAGGAGTCCCTGAACGGTGTTTGCCAGCTCGTTTGAGTGCCTCCTCCTCCCCATCCCCATTCCTTCCTGGAAGAAGAGGGCACTGCCAAGAGTAGTGAGAGGTACTAGGGGCTGTATCCACCCCTCCTCCTCCCCGTTTGGATGCTGTTACGCAGATGTAAGCGTGGGTGGCAGGGTGACAGAGTAATGATACCCTCTGCCCATCTCTGCCCCCAGCTGGGCACACTCTGCTTCTCCCTTACTTCCCCCAGAACCTACCACATCTGGGAGCTCCCACCTCTGTTCTGGGTGAACAGCCCCCACCTCAGATCTCAGCAGTGGCCCAAATTCAGGTGTTTTCATACCCAAGTTTATGTCTCATCCAAGGCCGAGGGTTTGCTGATCCCTGAGATGACTTGGTCGGACCTCTGCCCTTGGGTGCTCACAGCCATCCCAGGCCCCAGGGTGCCTGTTCCCCCAGCTCCTGCCAGTGTCCTGGAACTCAGCCTTGACTTCCTATGATCTGTATTCATTTCTCAATCATTGTCTGTCAGAGGTGAAGTGTCTGGAGATACCATCCAGTCCAGTCCACCCATTTTACAGGAAGGAAAGTCTGAGGCCTGTGAGGGACAGTGACTTGTGCAAACTCACACTGAGATTAGTGGCACATCTGGTACCGGATGCTGCGTAAACCCTGACCTCCTGCATGGCTTCCTACTTGACTCCAGGTCTGCACTCAGGGACATGCTCCAAGGACCGTCTCTCTCATCCCTGAGCCATCTAGGTGCAGGTGGTGGAGTCCTGGGGCTTCAGCCCATCCAGAGGTTGAATGAAGAGCCTGAGGTTCTCTGGTTTAGGGCAGAACCTGGAACCTGATACTACTTCCCTTTCTCCTCTCCCCCCACCTCCACTTCCTGCCTCCGGGAGCCTCCCTCCTGCCCAGGCTGGCATTACCTAGGGCCTAAGAGCAGGCCAAGGAAATTGCTCCTCCCCCACTAGGGCCCCTCTTCCACTTCCACTTCCGTGAGGATTCAAGAGCCTGGAGTGCTCATGCTGTGCTGCTGGGGAGGGGCTGTTGTCTGTTGGGTGTTTGGTAGGAAGGGCAGGGTTGCCCTGGTGTGTTTTGGTCTCCTGAGCTCAGCTGGCACCCGGGTGTCTCACTGTCTGCTCCTTCCCTCCAGCCATGCAGCAAGTCCTGGACAACCTGGGATCCCTCCCCAATGCCACAGGGGCAGCAGAACTGGACTTGATCTTCCTTCGAGGCATTATGGAAAGTCCCATAGTGAGATCCCTGGCCAAGGTATGGTGCTCCAGGGAGGCATGCCCAGGTGCATGGGAGACATCGTGAGGGGTAAGATGTTAGTCACAGGGGGCCCTAGATATGGGGCATGTGGTACCGGAGACCCCTGAAAGGGGGTATGCATGCACATCCATGTCCAGGTGATGAATCTGAGCCACTGCAGGTAGGGGGGCCCTCATGCCTGACTGGTGAGCATGTGGACATGCCTATGTGGATGGGCGTTTGGTGACTGCTAGCTTGTAGAAGGTATGATTGATTGGGGCTAAGCACACCTGTGTTTTGGAATCTCCAGAGTCCATCCTGCTTATCTTTCTGCTTTTTGGGCATTTGTATAAAAATCTGCTTAAAGTCACCTGCCACATCTCAGGTCAGGGAGAGGAGACTCACTAAACGAGAAAGTTATAAAACAAATTGGTGGAGAGGAGGGTATAGCTCAGTGGTAGAGTACGTGCCTAGCATGCATGAGGTCCTGGGTTCAATCCCCAAGTACCTCCATTAAAAAAAAGTAAATAAACCTGACCCCACCCCACCGAAAAAAAACAACAAAAAACCAAAAAAAAAAAATTTGGTAACGGCAGTGACAGAGGCAGACTCACTAGGCGTTTTGCCAGTGTAAAAGACAGATGTCTTACCCAGCCCAGGGTGCACAGGGAAAACTTCCTGGAGGAAGGACCACTTGAGCTGAGTCCTGAAGAAAGAGGAGGAGGGGGAAGGTATTCTGGGCCAGAGGAAGAGCCTGAGCAGAAACAGAGGTGAGAGAAAGAGCCAGAAGTATACAGGGACTGTAAGTGTTGGTGTGAGGCTGGAGCTTCAGGTGTGAGACAGGAGTGTGAACTGTGGAGATGTTGGCAGCCAGTGAAGGGCACTGGGGACTGTGCCTGGGGCTTGGGCATTATCCTGTGATGTCCCGTGAGCAACATGGAGCCTTTCGTGGGGTTTAAGAAGCAGAGGGATGATGGCACATGGGTGTTTTGAGAGCATCCCTCTGGCAGCTGCATGGAAGATGGTTAGGGGGTCATGGCTGGAGTTGGAGATACCACCATTGGGGATGGCCCTGAACTGGACCTCTGGTAACAGGACTTGAGGGAGGGAAGGATAAAAGAAATATTTAGGAAGTAAATTGGCAGTCCTTGGTCTTTGGGTATGGAAGGTAAGGGTTGGGGGTAGCAAGGCACCTGGGATTCTGCACAGGGGAAGTATGAGGCTGTTGCCCCCTTCAGTTGAGACAAGGATGCATGAGGATGGATGAGGGGAGGGGGTGACCTGTCTGCTGAGGGGGAGGAGAGGAGGTAAGAATGGACGTATGTTGGAGGCAAGGCTGGGAGTTGCAGGGAACTATGCTGATTGCTCAGATTTCTCAGGGGATGTGGGCAGTCTTCTGCTGGGAATTAGGAATCAGGAGTTGCGTGCGGCAAGGGTGGGAAGTGAGATTGGGAAGTGAAGTTTCAACTAATCACTGAAGAGGAGAGAGAACCCACTAAAGCCAGGGAGCAGGATCGACAGGGACCTGGACCATCTGCAGCAGGTGCCTGATTCCCCAGAGTGGGGGTGACTCAGTCCAGAGGAACAGAGGGTGGCTTTGGTCCAGGGCTTGCACTAGATGGGGGCTATGGAAGGCTGATACGCAGAGACAGGTGAGAGTGGCTCAGAGCATCACCTCTGGAGCCCAGGCTGGAGGGGAGGGGAGAGCGGCCAGGAGGAGACAGAGGGGCAGGGGGAAAATGGAGGTGAAGGCCTGGAGGCTCTCTGGGGTCACAGTGTTTGGGGAGAGAGTATAGAGCTGGAAGAGAAAGTGGGCCAGGTCAGAGAGGGAGATGGGAAGTGAAAGACATCCAAGGAGGACAGTCCTGGGGGGTGACATGACAATCTAGAGTGTGACTGCAGTGGACACGGAGGTCATCGATGTTGAAGAAGTCTAGGGATAGAAGGCTTGGGTGTGAGATAGGGTGTCCACACGGGCGCTGGGGTGGGGAGAAGACTGAGGCAGTCACAGGGTCTACAGTGAACAGTGGTGGGGTGACCAGGAAGTCAGCAATGACAGTGATGGGGAGGAGGGGGTGGGTGGTACAGCCAGGCAGTGCGTCTTCTGCAGGGTGAAGGTGGGGACTCTGTCACAGGACAGCTGTGGCCCTCCCTGGCATGGGGAGTGGAAGGGGACCAGGCCCCACTGCTACAGAGGATCCTGTGTCCCAGGGACACAGCTCGGTCGTGTTTTTATCTGTGGAATGGCTTAAGACCGAGAGAGCTTGTTAACGATGAAAGATGAGAAGGAGAGGGTATAGCTCAGTGGCAGAGAGCATGCTTAGGTTCCTGGGTTCAATCCCCAATACCTCCATTAAAATAAATAAATAAAATGAACAAAAACCTAATTACCTCTTCCTTTTCAAAAAAAGACTGATTAAAAAATAAAAAGGAAAAGGAAAAAAAGATGGAAGATGAAAGGTGTGAGTGGGTCGATAGTGGGAGGTTCTGAGGAAGAGAAAACTGAGCAGATTGGAGGAGACTGGAGAAAGGCAGATTGCTTCTCTGGTGGTCAAGGATTGGATTCCTGTATTTAAAAAGGAAATATGCATGTTTCAGACATAGAGAACATGATCTCCTTGAGGACAGGATGTCTGCTTGATTCACTACTGGGTCCCCAGAGCTCAGAACAGTGCCTGGCATGCAGTAGGTGTTCACTGAATATTTGTTGAATGAATGAATACAGGAGAGTGTAGAAAAGCACATGACAGACCTCTGAATGCCCACCTCCAGGATGTCTTGCCTGCCATGTTTGCTTTCGTTATTGCTCTTTCTTTTTAAGAAATAAAAAGCACAATACAGTTAATGCCTCCCCTCTTTTCCTCATTTCCAGTGCTTTCCCTGCCCACAGGTGACCACTGGCTTGAGCTGATCGATGCCATTCCCCTAGATGTTCCCCTGAATACAGATGTATTCAGATGTAAACAATATGCCCCTGTTATATGTGTATTTAAACTTTACATAATGGAAATGATAGTGTAAGCAGCTTAGGTTTGGGCAATTTCTAGTTCATAGAAGTTAATGTAGTTATTGACATATGTATAGGTATAGATTCATTTGAACTGTTGCGTGATTTTCCAGTATATGAATAGAGCCCATGTATTCATTTACTGGTTCCCCTACTGGGAGACAGGTACCTTGTTGCTGATTTGCCTCTATTAAGGACGGTGCTGCAGTGAACATCCTTGTATCCATCTGCTTCTGCACGTGTGGGAGTTTGTCCAGGGTGGACACTTCGTACTGGAATTGCTGAATATGCCCATTTTGAACCTCAACTTCTGTAACCTTCCAAATCTGATTTCACAGGTGGATTTACTGAACCACATCATCTCTGAGTCACTCTAGCTATTGCTTCTATAGTGGGACAGCCAGTGAAATAGGGAGGGGCTCTCAGCATGCAGAACCTCAGGGTTAGGAAGTCCTCTGGCCAGCTCCCTCCAAAACATGATCTCCTCACCCCCAGTGGCATTCCTCTCTGGTGGCCTCATCAGACCCATTTGACAGTTCTCCAAAGATGGGATTGCTGGCTGCATGGTTCTGTTATTCTCTCAGTCATTCAGTCACCCATCATCTATTCAACAGATACCTATTGCATGCTCACCAAGCATCAGGCACTAGTTCTAGACCCCTGTAAGAGGCTCATGGGCTAAGGGATCCCGGTGACTTCTCTCCTTCAACAGTCAGGAAGTGAATCTCCATAAAGGCCTTCGTGAGCTCAGTAGAAATCCCTCCCGTCCCAGTATGTGTGACCCGTTGCAATGCAACTTTGTTTCTCTCTCTCCTCTTCAATCTGGGCTTGACTACATGACTTATTTTGGACAACGGGACCTACTTCTTACTCCTTCTCTCCCATTTTAATGATTATGTATACACAGATACATTTATCTAATAGACAAAGTACTTTGATCAAAGATCCAGCTACAAAAACTTGGTGGCCCCAAAATCCCCAGGAGCAGAGTCCAGTTGGAACTGTGTGTGGTAGCTGTTCACTTCCTTCCCTTGCCTCATAATGTGAGCTTGACTCTCCTCCCCTGGGATGCGGCAGACAGATGGGAGGGGCTGTGCTGGATAGATCTGGGACCAGGGAGGAGCAGGGCCTGAGGCGACAAACCCAGAGAGTTACAGGCTCTGAAGGAAATCAAATCTGGCAGGCTGATCAGAAATGCAGAGGGGGGCTGCAGACGGCAGGTGGCAGCCCTGGCAGGTGGCATCTGGGAGGGCTGACATGCATCCAGTAGCAGGTGTTCCCACAACCGGCAAGGCCTTGGTGAGGAATCAAAGGCAGATGACATTCAGAAATTTAGATAAACTGTTACCAGTTAGGGCATCTGCCAGTCAGGAGACCTAATCCACCTGAGATGAAGAAGAAAAAAAGCACATGGTTTGGAGTCAGAAGAGTCACTGGCCAGCTGTGTGATTTTAGTTTGTCTGACAACCTCTCTGAGCTTCAGTCATTTCTTCTGAGAAATGGGGATAATGATGCCTATCTCTCAGATTCATGGTCAGGAGATGGGGAGGTCATGTGTGTGGAAGTGCTTTTTAAACCATAAAGAGTTGTTTTAGTGTAGTCTTGGCCACTGGACTGGAGTTCATAGGGCAGACTCCAGTCCTATGGTGAGGCTGGGGTGAGAGAGCTGGCAAAGCAAGGCAGGGCCTTAGAAGAATGAGGGGCCAGGAGGATCACTAAGATGAAGACTCTGACTGGGGACATGACAAGCAAAGGCTACAGTGGGGAGCCCAGTGCTTTTGCTGTGTAACAAACCACCCCACATCAAAGTGGCTTAAAACAACTGTGATTTATGTCTCATGATTTTGTGGTTTGGTTGAATGGTTTCTCTGGCCTGGGCTTGCTCAGTTGAGACTGGGTGGTCTAGAATGGCCTCACTTACACATCTGGTGTCTCAGTGGGGAAGGCTACAGGGTCCTGAATGGTGTAGTCTCTCATCCTCTAGGAGGGTGGCCCAGGTTGTCTCCCATAG